ATATATATATATATATATATATATATATATATATATATCTCAACATTACATTAGCCTACCCTGCCCTCCAGATATTGTTATTGGCTTCAGCCATTGGAAAATCCACTAGTTAGGATCAGATGTGAAATAACTGATGAAATGTGCATAACTAAAGAAAGAGAAACGCATGGCAAAACACGATGAATAAGTGCTGACCTGGTCCTGTTGCTGTTTCGCTAACTCCATTTGCTGGCGCTGTTTTTCGATCTGCGAAGCGGCCAATTTCTTCTGCTCCTCATGGGCGGCCAGTAGCTGCTCTCTGAGACTGCTGAGCTGCGTAATCATCCCCATCAGCTGGCGCTCTTTCTCCGCCAGGCTGTCCGGGGTGCCTGCAGGGGTTAAAGGGCACAGGCCAAGGGTCAAAGAACCAGTCGAGGAAGCCTTGTACCCAGATGTGCTCCTCCTGAGATGTGCTATCTCCCTGGTGTTTACCTTGCCGTCGCTACACACTTAGCATGAGCTGACCTCCGACCTGGGCTAAAGCTGAGAACGCTCTGACATACGAGCAACCCCAGAGCAGACGGCAGGAGGGGAAGACTAAATCACTCGACAGGATGTCGTTGCACTGCGGTATTACCCCAGACTACCACCAATCAAACAATGTGTGTGCTTCTGTGTGTGCTAAACCCCTAAAGCGTTCAAATGTCCAAATGAGCACATGTCTGTTAACGAGTTCATGTGTGTGCAATTGTGCGTCTGAGGTCATATATCTGTGTTAAAACATACACACACAGACACACGTCAGCGCAGCCCCACAATCCCCCATTGTTCTCGGTCTCTACCTTCTGAGGGGCCACATTCCTCACCAGGGAAAAACAGATGATGAAGAAAGCTAGAGAAAGAAGGGAGTCATAGCAGCTGACCTGAACCTTTGCCCTGGCAGGAAGGTGAGAGTAGGCTCCATTTGTAACCCCTTCACAAACACACACACACAGACTCAACAATGCACAATAAAGGCAACTGTCACAGGCGGCCAGTTGAAAAAATAAACCTGCAGCTCCCCTTAACAGTTCACAGACTGAGCTTTCACAAGAGGTTGTGTATCTCAGCCGGCCCGGGACAAGGGAGGGCTGTGTGTGAAAAGTGACGAGTCTTCCAGAGAAAAGAGGCATCAAAGCGATCTTTCTTTCCCACTTTCTTTCCAAGACCCTATTGCTCATACAGGGGATGGGTTAGAATGGTTAGATATTTTTCTATATTTAAATTGAAGTATTTTAAATATTCAAATGTTAAATATTTATTTAAATATTATAAACTTAATTTATATTTAATATCAATTATGCAACTAATAATGCATTGTTTGAGACTGTTTTCCAACAAAAATGTGTAGATGAATTCACAGCTTTCATGGAGATAAAGTATAACTTTCAGCTATTATTGCAAATAAAAACCTAATAAATATATGTATGTATCTTTGTAAATAAACCGTAACATTAAACAAATATTTAAAAAAAATTTCAGACACATTTGAAATATGTTAAAAATAAAATAATTAATTTCTTGTTTCCCATCTGGGCCAGCAGAAAAAAAACTTATTGTTGTCATACCTGGTTAGAACACATATAGAAAAATGTCAAATTGTTTAAAAATGTGTCTTGAGACCCCTGCACTCTGTCCAGCTGTTTTTGACGAAAAAAAAAAAAAAAAACTCCAGTGAATGCATCTGATCATTGCTGGTGGACATACCCCTAAACCACCATTATTACATAGGGTTTACCAACTAGTCATTCAGACTACCTACCAACTAGTTTATTCTAGAAGCATTTGTAGCTTTGCACGTCCCTAGCGCAGTCAATTAGATTCGCTCATTAAAATGTGAATAGACCTCTGACACAATATACTCTAGATGCCCTAAGTCTAGAGTTGACAGAAGGTGTTCATACACACACATAAGAAAACACGCCAGCCTCATCAATCACAACCGAAGGCTTTTTACCTCGCCTACTGAAAGTTCAGCTTTGGATCAATAAGTGGTTTCCTCTCTCTCTAAACATCCTAAGGCTGCCTTTACTGCCTTGCCTCATGTCACAAGCCACAGTAATTAACCAATTTGTAACAATGTAATACCTGTCAAGCAGCTCTCACTGCTAATTAATGACTGGGCTTAAAAGATAAATCCCTAAAGCAGCACAGTGCTGTGTTACATGAGGGAGAGAAGGAGAGAAAGAGCTTAGCCTGAGGCTCTTATTGTCCATTACCACTTTTCTTTCCATCTCTTTCTTCTCTCATTCTGTCTCTTTTGCTCTGTAATCATCTCCTATGTGGTTAACACAGGCTGTTCTTTACTGTACAATATATTTAGTCGACTTCATAAAGTACAATGCATCTGTTCTATTAAATGCATAGATCTGGTTCTGAACTCTGGTCAATACTGTACTTCAGTTGTGCAAAAATACACTATATATTTCTGTATCACCATGCCAACATGCAGCACCCATCCACCAATGAAGGTTCCATACTGTCATCTATGGTGTATCATGGAACATTTGTACTGGACAAAAGTTTCTTTATAGTGGAAAAACAAAATTAAAATGTTCTTCACATTAAGAAAAAATCATGGTTCTTTTAAGAACCATCTACTAAAAGGTTTTTTGGGGAACCCAAAATGGTTCTTCTATGGTATCACTGTGAAAAGCCCCTTTTAAATATAGAGATTAACTATCAACCTTGGTTTAATTTCAGGGAAAATACCTGCTAGTGGCAAAATGGCTTGTAATGAATTTGCTAGGAGCAATTTAAGCAGTTTTGCAAACTTCCACCATTTCGACAAAACACCCTCTCGCCAAAAACCCATTCCCAAAGACGTCTCAGGTGAACATACAAAATTATTCAATGTTTCTAATTGGTTCATTGGTTTAAAATGTCAATCATCCCTCTGACTTTGTGTATCAGTAAATTTTATGTGTAATATAAAAATTACAAATCTAATTTAAAACGACCTACTAGTTTGTATATATCTGTGTCCATTTCTGATCTTAAAGGGTATTCACACACAGAGAGGGGACAGTCGTGAGGGCCCTATCCAACAGCTAGTCAACGGTGGTCGTGGCGGGGATGCTCTCTTACTGAAATGTCAACACAGTAGGGTTACCGCACCGACGGCTTAATCAATGGCGCTCCCTTTTCTGCTCCAGGAGCGAGAACAAGCTTCGTTTGATTAAATATTTCTGAGCCGCTTAATGAAATACATTTACTCCCGAGTTAGCCTCGCGAACACGCCACTAGCGTGTGGAAGGTGTATGGAGGCTTGTTAAAGTGACAGTGGAGTGTGTTCTCGCTATGGCTGAGTGACCTAACAGGATGTATCATTAACCGTGCTAACATGAGCGAGGCTGTTGCTTAGCAAGTCATCCCGGCAGATCATTAACTGGGGCGGCGAAGAGGCTAGCGCTAGGTGGATTAGCATACCTGAGCTCTCGGAACGCTTGAAGATGTCTAAGGTGACATTTGATACGTACAATTATAGCTGTGATTATTGGAATCTAGAACCGCAAAACCAGCTCTTGTGACTCAACTGCCAATGGAAACAGCGAATACTTTGGTTTTGTATCACTAAAAAAGAGACAACAGATATATCAACCGTTAAACACAACATGCATACATTCTGAGGTCACATGAAGACACAAAGTCTTTCGTTTTACCTTTGATCTCTCCAAAGTTGCCAGAACCCATGGCCAATATCTTGTCCTTCCAGTCCTTAGACAACAGCCTCTCAATACTGGGGGCCTCTGGAGGGGAGACAGAGAGAGAGAGAGAGAGAAAGAGAGAGAATTACCACAGGCAGAATTATCACAATATAGCTCATTTAAAGTCCATTTGCTGTAATAAAGGCCCGTCTCTCTAATGGCACCAACAGTAGGGCAGGAGGAAGAGAGGATGGAGAGAGAAAGACAGAGAGAGAGAGAGAGAGAGTTGATCGGCTTCCTCACCTGCTGTTAGCCAATCATTAGCCCTATGCTCCAGCTAACACAAAGAGGCTCTTAATGCACCGGGTACAATGGACACATTATCGAGGCTGTGCGTTTTGTTTTTCTAATACACCCCGCGGACCCGCTAACCCCTCCACCCCACACGCTAATTACTAACCTGCCAAGGACGGACGTCTCAAACGAGAGAGAGAGGAAAATTAAAACAACTCTCAACACCCCCCTCTGTATTCCTCTCTAACACACACACACACGTACCAGCATCACCATCACAACAATTAACTGCGATATGAAACAAAATGAGTGAAAGAGGGAGACACAAAGAGTGAAAGAGAAACACAAGGTGTGTATTTGTGGTAAATGACAGCGGCCAGTATTTTAGCAGGTTGAGTAATGACACACACACAACTTTAAATTCAGTTGTGATTTCCTTTTCCTTTGTTTAATTCTTATACTTTTTGTCATTCTACATCCTGTTGCTCAAATAGTAAAGAATTAAACTTGCAATGGCAAGGTCATGGGTTCAATTCCATATTATTTTAGGTGATAAATCATGTTTGAAAAACATCTTTAAAAATCATTAAACCCTTTGGAATATTAAAATTGACATCGAAAAAAATGCAAACATACATACAAGGTAACTTTACATTCAATTACAATTTTATTTTACAAATTTGTATTTATTTATTTTTGTTATTCTTCATCCTGTAGCTTAAAAAGCAAAGCATGACACTTGCAACAGCAATGCCATGGGTTCAGTTCTATATATCTTTATATGACAAAATGTATGCTGAAAACATCTTTCTCTCATTTAACTTATGTATTCAGGCTCATTTAAATCTTAATCACCAAACGCTTCCGAATATGAAAATTCACATTTTCAAAAGCATAAGCAAAAACTTTAAATACACATATGCATGAACTCTACATTCAGTTATGACTTCCTTTTACTTTTCCATTTCCCGTCTTCATTCTTTTTTTAAATTCATCCTGTACCTCAAATAGTAAAGCATGATGCTTGCAATTTAAAGGTCAAAGGTTTGATGCCATATGAATTTATGTGATAAATCGTGTCTTTAAAAACATCTAATTTAAATCTTAATCACTAAAGCCTTCAGAATATGAATATGCACAACTTCAAAAGCAAACACACACACACACACACTTAAACACTTCTCCACCAAAGTAAAAACACCAGGTGGCACCATTACCAATTCAGCTGGAGTTAAAACACTGAGCACTAACCTGTGTCTTTGCGACTGATAGACTGTACAGGCCCCAGGTGGGCGGCACACACTTGCACTCAAAGACTTGCCAAATAGAAGAAGACTTGCCAAATATTTAATGTTTGATTAGTGGTCAAACTTCCTCAGTGGTATGTCTGCAATTTAAAGTTTATCACATTCTTGTCTCTTGAGTATTTCTGAATATCCTCTGTGTTCCTGGTCTCGCCTTTGGACTTCAAAGTTTGACAGTTTCAGGCCTGTAAAAGACACAGCCTTTGGTTTATGGACACACTCCCTCACCGTTCAGCCAATCACCTTCACTGCTGCTGTTTCTACTGACAGCTGTCTCACTGTCACCCCAACAGGTGTTATTAGCCCTCGGCTTTCTCTCTCTCTTTCCTCTATTCTGGCATCTGTGCGTAACAATGACAGAGGCTTTTAAGCCCGAGAGCTTTGACAAGCGAAAGGTTTCAACAAATGGCCACTCCGTCTATCCCCCCTGCCTGCTCTCTCTCTCTTTCGGTCTCAGTATGTCACTTTCTCCCTCTCTCTCACCACAGCACTGTAATAGTTATTATTTTTATTTATTAACATGGCCACTATTGTCCCTGCTGACAGCTCCTTCACTTTAACTATTAATAAAAATAGAAAGCCCTCTTTTTAAGTGACAGCCCGCAGCGGGGATCTGCACAATCGTTTACTGTAAAATGGACGGAGAAGGAAGCAGATATGCTGATGTATCTGTCTTTCATGGCAGCTCCCCTGTCTTGATCTTGTTCTTCATACTCTCTTATGGTTTGGGAAGAAAAGGACTGTTGCGGTGCCCTTTGATAGAAGCACCTCTCACTTCAGCCTGTGATGTTGCGTTTAGTTTTTTCAATATGAAATATGACGCTTCAACATATGCTGGAATTATAAAATGCTAGAATGGACTCTAACCTGCTACTTTATATCATGCAAGTATACTGATAATAAAGACTTGTATTTTAATGTAGTGTACTGAAAATCACAAATGAGATCTCTTTTAATATCTCAGTTGTTTCTTATAGATAGCAATGAAATGGAATGGATTGGATTGAGGCTTTGAATGAACTGAGAATTTCTCTCAAAATTGTACAAAATACTCCATTAATCTCACATAGGGCTGGGCGATAATTCAATAACGATAATTATCGTGATATAATTTTCCTCGATAAAACGATATGAAGAGTTCGATAAATGTTCAATATAATGGTTATGCACCAAAAGCAGAACGAAACCGCGCGACTCATTTTAATCGTGCCACACGGACCGTTTATCCGCTCGGATCACCGTTCAAACTCACTAGAGCAGATGCGTTTACTCGGTCACACAAGCATTAAGCCACGCTGTGAGATCTAGTGTTGAAGCGCTTGAATTCAGCGATGAACACAAATGACTCGGTGAGTTAAACTAGTTTAAAGCCAAGCAGGAGAAACACTGTGTGCAACGAGACAGTCAGAAGGCTTTTCAATCTACAAATCGACATAATTTACCATGGATTTACTGTAGTAACACTCACTGCACCATGGTATTGTGGCAGAAATTTTGGATATAATAATAATAATATGTTTTATTTATATAGCGCCTTTATAAATAACATAGTATACAACATATAAACAGCCAAACAGCAGACAGAGGTGAAATAATATGCAATATACAAGATAAGTTACAAAAGCATAGAACAAAAAATTAAGGCAAGCAATTAATTAAGAAACATTGTGAATAGGTGAGTTTTGAGAGCAGCTTTAAAGGTCTGGAGTGAAGAGATAACACGGAGATCTTGTGGTAGTTTATTCCAGAGCTTGGCAGCGGAAATGCAGAAAGCCCTACCACCCACACTAGATAGCCAGAATTTGGGTACTGCAAGCTAATTTTCAGAGCTCGATCTCAAAGTGCAGGCAGGGACATAGGGGAGAATTAATTCAGAAAGGTAAGAAGGTGCTAACCCATGATGGGCCTTAAAAACTAAAACAAGAATCTTAATATCTTGAATACGATAGGTGACAGGGAGCCAATGTGATTGCTGTAAAACTGGAGTGATGTGGGCATATTTTTTGGTAAATATAAGAACACAAGCAGCTGAATTTGGGATAAGCTGCAAGCGATTAAGGACTTTGTTGGGTAGGCCATAAAACAAGGAGTTACAGTAATCCAGACGCGACGTAATAAACGCATGAACAACAGTTTCAGCATCTTTGAATTTTAAAGATGGTAGTAGGCGGACAATATTATGAAGGTGAAAAAATCTGGATTTGACAAGCTGATTGATGTATGATTCAAAAACGTAGACTAGAATCAAACATTATACCAAGATTGTGTATAGTGGAGGAGGGATGGACTATATATTCACACTGAATTTTATTAAAAGAATAATGGTATATAATTGTAGTATGTATTTGTGATTAAGCTATAGCATGTGTGCATTTATACTGAATGTTTTTAGACTACTGTTTTTCATACAAATAGGCTACCTAAAAACCATAGTTATATTTTTACTATGGTATTGCGGTGCTATATGTGTGGTTTTAACTGTTTATATCATGATTTAAATGTATGCTACTATTGGAGACCAATGCTTAATTAAAAAATAAATAAATAAATAACTTGGTCAGAATAAATTTAACCATATAAAACTGAGGTTGCTACAATTTTTCACAGATGTTACTGATTTTGATAATGAACAAAAATTTACCTCTGCATCCTAACTCAAGCTACTATCAAATGTGCATTTCTAAGAGACAAAAAGTGATATTATTATTATTATTAATATTATCAGGCAACCCAAACCTGTTTCTTGATTTGAAACAATATCACTCATTAGAACATGCAGAAACTAAGAAATACATTTTTCTATTTAGATATTTATTTTAAGGAAAATTAATGGTCTGGTTTCTACAACTTTCACTTTGGAGCAATAATTTGGCTTTAAATGTGAAATAAATAAAGATTTGACATTTATCGTGGTAATTATCGATATCGACTGATATGAAAAAAATTATCGTGGTAATTTTTTTGGCTATATCGCCCAGCCCTAATCTCACAAATGTCTCCTTTAAAGTTTCAGAAGTGTCACATTATGCTCAGAATATATTACATACTTAAATGAAACCCATCTGAAAACTGAATGAGCAAACTTCTAGCTATAAAATGTTCTATAAAGATAAAAGATAAACATATTAACTGCAGGTTTAAATCCAATATTTGCTATGCGAATAGGTTATCATCATTAAAAATATGTGCATTACAGAGAGAGAGAGAAAGAAAGAAGTGAGAGAGGGCAGAAACTTTGGGACTGCTTCCATTAGTATATTCCCAATACGGCAGCACAGCTTGTATGCATTAGTGTAAAGGGGTCTTGTTTGTGGCAGCTGGGTGGAACCCTGCGTATGCCCTTACGAGGTGGGGAGCACATTTTTGGTGGGACCAGTACTGCCTGAGGGATACAACGGGGAGAGAACAGTGTGACTCTTGGAAAACCACACAGCAAGGGTGTGTATGGGAGCAGGAGTGCCAAGATGTATTTCAATTAGACTTAACATGATTGAATGAGAATGT